TTTTTATAGCCCCCCCCCCCGCCCCCGCTACCTCTTCACTTTTCTTTCTTTTCTCTTTTATTCGTCTTTTATCCGCCCTTTAACGACGTGAAGGACCCCGCTCAGCTTCCACACACCCGCACCCCCCACCGGGCTCGCCCCGAAGCCCCCCAGGCTGCCCCGCCGGGCCCCGCTCCCGGGCGGGCTCGGGGACCCCTCCCCGGCCACCACCGGCTCCTTCCCGGCCACTTTCCCGTCAGTCAGAGCCAGAGCCGCACACCTCGGATTTGTAATTATTTATTAACTATATTTCGCATAAACAATGCATGAGCTTGGAGTGTAAGCGACAACATTTAGCGACGTGGGAAGAAACCCGGGAGGGCTAATCACGGGGGAGGGGGGCAGGAAAATAAATAAGAAAAAGGAAAATGAACAGAAAAGAAATAAAAGAAAAGGGAAAGGCGAGCGGAGCCGGGGGGGACAGTGCCGTGTTTACCCTCAGCATCGACCCGAGTGTGGCAGGATAAACTGGGACCCTCTAATACATAATTTAAAGATCTTTTTCTTTTTCTTCTTCTTCCTTTTTTTTTTAAGCTCTTTTAAAACAAACCTGGCTACGGATCCTGTCCAGCCATGGGGTTTATTGCGCGGGGATGTTCTACAGGCTTAATTACATCTTAACTTCAATATTTGGATAGTGCATTAACCGCATATATATTTAATCAGGCGGAGGCGCTCTTTCTGCGGGGGAAAGTGGTGGGGAGGGGGGTGAGAGATGCGACCCCCACTTTCTCCACGGGCTGTGCCCCCGCAGCGCTGCCCGGGGTGGCGGGGGGCGCTCCGGTAGCTCCCGGAGGGGAGCGCGGCGGCGTCTCGGAGCGACCCCCGCACCCCGGGCAGGGCTCCACCGGGACGCGGAGGGGTCGGAACGGGAACTCAGGGCCTCCCCCGGCCTCCCCCCGCGGCGGGGATGCTGCCGGTCACCGGCTCCGCCGGTCGCGCAAAGCGCGGTATCATCCCCGATCCCGTGCGCGGTCGTTGTGAAAGGTTAAAAAGGACTGGGAAAAAAACCCCAAAAATCAAATTAAAAATGAATAGGGAAAGAGCGGAAAACTTAATGCTGTGGGGGGAGGGACATGGTGGAAAGTGTCTGCGAGCGCGTGGGAGGGAAGTTTTTGCCCGGTTTGGAAGGAGGGAGCAGCTGGGGATGCGGGGATGCCCCGCAACGCACCGCGGTGGTCCTCGGCGAGAGGGCTCCGGTGTTTGTACGGCACCGGTGCACCGCAAAGGAGAGAGAAATCCCATTACCCAGAGCAGCGGTGGGGAAAGGGGGATGATAAACAGGGTGATGTTTAACTAAAAAGACGGGAACGACACCAATAAAATGCAAATTTAAACTCGCTTGAAAAGGACTTCCCCCCCACCCCACTTCTGTATTAGATTTAAAATGAATTTGAGTTTGTGTTTGGGGGTTTTATTCGGGTTTTTTTGTCTGGTTTTTCTAGTCTGTTATTTTCACTCCTTTTTCTTTTCTTTTTTTACTCTTTTACTTTCTCTCTGGTTTTTTTTTTTAACCATTTTCTCTATTAATTTTTTTTTTTTTTTTACTTTTTAATTTTCTCCTTTAAAAAACATCTTCTGATGTCCCTCTTTTTCTCTTTCTTCCTTTTTGTACGCTTCTAACGTCCCTCACCGAGGCCGAGCGAGGGTTCTCTGGAACATCCCGGCCGGCTCCCTGCTGAGCACGGCTGGGCTCGGTCCCGCCCGGGGCTGGGGGCTCGGACCCGGCCGGGAACGGACCTGGGCGAATTGCGAGATGCAGTGAAAAAAACAAAAAATCCACCCCGACTCAGAGGCCCGGCCCTAGAAAGAGATTGTGCCCCCCATCCCCGTGGCTTTGGGGGATTTTTCCCCTCCCTCTGGGGCTCCCGTGGGTGCCTCACGCCGGGACACGAGTGTCCCGGGGGGCACAGAAGACTCGAGGGAGCCTGGGGATGGCGGGGTTTGATTTTCGGATCCTGCTGGAAACAAGCGCGGGCACTTTCTCCTCTCAAACGCCTGCTTGGGTCGGGGTTCCCCTTGGGGGGTGAGGCGGATGGGGGGCACCCCACTGCCCGCTCCGGCCGGGGGGAGCAGCCCCCCTCCTCTGCACCGCCACTTCCCCCCAGCGGGGTTTTGGGGGGGTTGCTCGTGTCGGGGCGGGCGGGCAGAGCCCCGCGATAACCACAGCGGTGCGGGGACACCCCGGACCCCCGGGGAGGTGGGGGTGGGCAGCGGTCTGTGCCCCCCGGGGAGCAGGGGAGAACCAGATGCTTTCGCTAGCGCCTGGGAAAGGAGAAAAAAAAAAAAAATCGCTGTGAAAAACTGGTGCTTGATGGACACGAGATGCTCATCTCCTTCCCCTCATTCATCCCCACCGACACATGTCACCGGGGGCCGCAGCCGAGGGTCGCGCTCCCCTGACGGCTGCCCGCAGCTGTCGCCTTCCCGGGCGGCGGAGCGGGGCCGCCCGCCCGCCCCGGCCCCGCGGCTCCGCATGAGAAGCGGCCCATGTGCGGGGGCACCGGGCGGGGGGAGCCCAGGGCTCTATTGATCCCCGAGAGCGGCGGCAAAGCGGCCCAACAGCTGGGCGGGGGGAGCCCTGCGCGCCCGGTGCGCGCCCCGACGGGGAGGGGATGGCCGCGAGGGGGGACCTGCGAGGGGGGCAAAGATGATATCGCGGACGCAGCCCCCGGGCTTTTAAACACCCGCAGGAGCTCCGAGGCGATGTCTCGGCCCGGGGACAGCCCCGGGAACTGATTCTGCCGGACCGGGCAGGCTCCGCACTCCCGCCGGTCCCGGCTGCCCCCCGCGCGGAGCGGGCTTCCTGCCTTTCTTTTCCTTTTTTATCTTCCAGTTTCTCCCTCCCTCGCTTTTTTCTTTTCCTCAAGGACGAGGAAAACAGACGTGAAAGAGAGCGCGGTCGGTGCGTACAGGCGGGGGATGCTGCGGGCTCCAGGGAGGGCCTCCGCCGACCCCCGCGCTCAGCCCCGGCTGCCCACCGTGTGTGTAACCCCGGGCACGCCGGGGCCGTTCAATCCGCCGTTCCCTTCCTAATTCCCCGGCGGCGGCTCAGACGGCCCGAGGGGGCGGTGCGGGGCCGGCTCCGGGGCTGGCGGGGCCCGGGACCGGGTGGTGACACCTCCCCGGAGCGGTGGCTCCCGCCGGCCAGGAGAGCGCAAAGGAAAGAGAAACCTCGTCCCTCCGCACCGCCCCGGTACCGACCGGCCCCTGGAAGGTAAAAGCGAATTAATCTTTATTTACCCCAAAAAGAAAAAAAAAAAGTCCATCCCGGTGGCCGGTGCTCCTCGGCCCGGGACGGGCACTGCGAGCGCCGGTAACGGAACCACCGCGAAGTGACCGGCGCCTTCGCTCTGCCCTCGGAGGCCGGGGGACCCCGGGCCCGCCGCCCCCTCCCCACCGGCGCCGCCCCGTCGGAGCGCACGGGGCCCGGCCCCGGCCGCACCGCAGCGCTCCTCCCGGGACAGGCGGGTTCTCCTCAGTTCTGCGCCGCGCGGGAGCCCTCGGGCCGCGCCGTTCGCTAAACCGGGATCTCTTTCGCCGCCGCCGCTCGCCAGCGAGCCGCTCCTACACCGGACCCGTGACCCTGCGCGGGGGGTGCCAGACCCCATCGAGCCGCCCCGTCTCCTCGCACCCGCCGTCCCCTCATCCGCGCACCGACACGAACCTACCGCTGCCAGCGGGCTCTGGCGGCCGTCGGTGTGCCGGTGGCTGTGCCGGTGGCTGTGCCGGTGGGTCGGTGTGTCTGTCGGTGTGTCTGTCGGTGTGTCTGTCGGTGTGTCTGTCGGTGTGTCTGTCGGTGTG